TCCATTCGCGCCTGGGCAGCCGCCGGGTTAACTCAGCCTTAAATTACTACCTCGTTTGATGTGTGACCATCACCACGGTGGGGAGACAAAGGCAGCCGGGTGAGCGTGGTGCTAGCAACACCGCCCTTTTGCGTGCCATGCCATCCTAACAGATGCTCACTAACAGCGCTTGCCCCAGCGTACTATAAGGGATGTTTATTTATTTATTAAACCGTGTATCTCCATAGAGTTCAAACATATGCAATCAGTTTCCACACACACACACATGTAGAAGAGTTAACTTATTCACTGCCCTTTGTCAATCCACAATGATGAATGAAGGCCTCACTTTGCTGTGGCTGTCAAGGTGGTTGTTTGACCATACTTCACCAGGCTGGTCAGTGTGAGTTTGTGAAGGGGGCTCTGGCCCGGTTGAGATAGTGCAGTGCGCTAACCACTGCACCCCCCACCCCAACACAAATGTCCAATGTTAACTACTTTGTACTGTTCGCCAAAAAGCGAAGAGTACAAAGAAAATGCACTATTAGAGCATTTATAGATTTATATAGCTATAAAATATATCTATGTCTATAAATACATATTAGCATTGTCTTTACTGGCCTAACAATGGTGAGACTAGGCCATGAAGTAGGCTGTCTGTGCGGTAGGCCATATATTATCAGAGCGTGTTTGTTTGCATATTCGCCATAATTACTGTTATGGATAATGCAGACTAGAGTCCTTGCAAAAGGTAGCTATTTGGTGTTTGAACATCTTGACACCTATTTTTTTCCAGAAAGAGTAAAACCTCTTCTTATTTTTCATACGTATGACATGCACTCTGCATAGGGTTCCGATAACAACGGTTTGTTTGGCTGTTTAGAACAAACGCGTGTGCAACTTGTTTCTTAGTTTTGGTAAATAGGTGTTCAGGAAAGTGTATAAATAGGTTGGTGGGAGAGTTAGACAACTGGTTAGTGGGAGGGTTTAATCGGAAAGAGGAGAAGCTTTATTCACTTGGGACACTGAGGATGAGGGAGGTCCTACGCATGTTGCGATGCTCACCTCTGGGAAACTTAGCGGTCACGATTCCCAACAAAATAAACAACATCCCAGAACGGAAATCGTAACGATACAAAACATTTCGACCGTGAGCACAAACTCTCATACCGCTACAAATATAAAAGCATCCCTTTCTTGTGCGCATTCCCTGGCAGATTTAGCCAGATGGACTCTTAAGAGGCAGGGGTACTCACACTTTACCCCACCACATTGGACTGCCAATTCACGACGTGTACGAGAGCCTGACCGCGGTACGAGCGGGTGGACAGAGGCAATGGCAGATGATGCGCGGGGATTGAAGCCAATCGTGGCTGTGACTCCATATTGGCACTGGTCTTAAAATTACTTGGTTGCTCTAAATTTCCCCGTGATGAGCCACTTTCTTTAGCTATCTTTGTGGCCAGGTCGCAAAAGAGCTATATCGACTCAGTGAGCCTATCTGCTAAAATAAAAATAGAATAGTTTATAGGACTGTGGTTCCACGTTTGTATTGGCTCCACACAATCATAATTTAGAACATCTTGTCAGCCACTGCTGGATGAAGGCCTCCGCATGCCAATGCCGGTCGCGGGGAGTGTTTGATCTCACGTCACCATGCTGGTCAGCGCCAGGTAGGATCAAGAGGGTTAACGGGTCGAGGAGGCGGTTCACATATGACAGTCGCCACTGATGATAGCCGGGGCCGGGACTCGAACCCACATCGCTGGGTTCACAGCACCTAAACACTGCGTCCACTATGGCTCTCCATACCCCCCCCCCCACCCACAAGCTACCTACACATATTAAATAACATTAACTTCAATTATTAGTTATTATAAGGCAAAAGAGCCGATTGAGAATCATGTCTTCCGCAAGGAAGGAACGGGTTACCATTTGCTAAACAATGACAATTCCAAAAGCTAAACACTTTGCAGTTCAGCTGCAGATGCATTTTTCACGTTTTTTTTGTGTTTGCGCGACTAGAACACATTGACCTATACTGCCGTAAGTTGTACAAAGGAAAACAACCCCCACTGCTTACACAGATGCCGAATATAACACAGCGGTGGCTTTTGTTGTTTTTTGTTGTCATGAAAACCGAGATAATTCTCTGATATTCTGTGAATCTTGGCTTAAAACTTTTCGTGCAGGAATTCATATTCTTTGGGTCTTTCGGTAAAGTCACATAGATAGGTACAAATTAATAGAAATTTATTTTATATAGGTAAAAAAAAAATTTATATTTATTATTTTTATTAAGCGGAGGAGGCTAATAAAAAAAATACATTTATATGTATTCTTTGTATTAATTTGTACCTATCTACATGACTTTACCGAAAGACACAAATAATATGAATTCCTGCAGTCACGTCAGGACAGGGAAAGTTCCACAAATTGAGCAACATAAGAGCGACCGTTTCAAATGGTCATCCCAATCATAAATATGGGATGGCATTTTAAAAGCAATTATCCACATCCTGAGACAAATGCCCGAGCTTGAATGCACCATCAGGATCACCAGCGTCAATGGAGAACACCCAGTTTGTTATTCTCTGCATGTTAAACGTACTCCCGTCTTTCGGCCAAATCACAGAAGATGGGCCTACGAATCGAACTGTCTGACTTCCTTCAACACCACAAACAACCGCCACAACGCTACGAGAACCGGGGTGGTGGGCGGCGCGGGGGAAACATAAAACGTCTACCTGCCACGCGCGCGCAATTAACTCGCGCATTCGCAGACACGGGCCACGTTCATTTAAAAATCATACTTCAAAGGGGGAAGGGCGAGGGTGGGGTAGAGGAGAATAAAAGTAGGCAATTATTAAAATGACACGGGAGGGGGGGGGGTGGAAAGAGAACAGGCGAGGAGAGAGACGTTTGAACGTTTTTGGATGTGCGGAGCGGATGAGCGCTACCCACCTGATCCTTCCTCCTGTTACCATACCTAGCCCCTCCGCTTTGTTCTGCCGCTCAAAAGCATTCAGATCCAGAACGCTGCATCGTTGGGAGAGGGGCACATGGGTTTCGCAGAATGGGAAAAGAGGGGAACATGACAATAATATTTATCGTTTTTATTACATTATAAAACATCCATAATACAGGGGTTTTTTGGGTGAGATCGCGTAAATATATAAATGTGTCGTTAAACCGGCTACCACCCGACACGGCCAATTGGTAAGGTTTGTGTCGGGTGGTGGCGGGTTTAACGACACATTATATCTATATTTACGCGATCTAACCCAAAAAACTGTATTAGGGATGCTATTGGTCGCGAAAGCCTACTACGTATTAAACTATTAAAAGCATTTTATTACCACCGATAACCAAACACCACATCAGTTTAACACAGCCAATTAGTAAGGTTTGACACGTAAACAGAACATGCCAATTCGTTACTAGTACAGCACTAACCGGTGTGTTGGAGAGCAAAGCCACAACATTTACAATCTGAGTACGACGTTTTCGCCAGTAATCACAACCAGCTTCATCAGGCGGACGGCGTCACTATTCGTCATCATTTCGCTTTGTGCAAGTTCTTTGTTGCGTGCTTCACTTGGGTATTTATTGCTTCCTTGCAACAATTTTTTTTTAACCGAAACTCTTATCTGCTGCTGAACCACTCTGTTGCTGGCCGCATTACCACTTTGGGCGTCTGCTCAGCAACCGTGATATATAAAATAATTATATTACCTGACAAGGACCGCTGCATAAAACGGACAGTAGCCAAGGCTGACTTCTCACAAATTGGTACAAATTTGATCGACCCCGAATTGCTGATGGGCTGAGTTGATGCCCGACTGTGAATTCAACTTGCAACCTTGCCGACATGAAGTCCAACACACTAACCTCAGCACTACCCATAATATATTACGTATAAAAACACGACAAACGGAATAATATCACAATTACCTAAATCATTTTTATCTTTACACAATATACATTTTTGCTCATTTACATGTGACTGTTTGGTAAAAGAGGTCGAAAAATTACATTGCAGTTCTTTAAATAATAATATGTGCACATTTGATATGTTTTGCAATTTATTTGCATGACTGTATATACATAAGAAAATAATATTTAAATAAAAAATTTCCCGAACTACACAATGTAAAAAATATATGTATTTACATGATTGCTTGCGCCAGCAGATGAATTATTGCATTGCAATTCTTCACACAATAATAATATTCAATTGTTGGTAGTTGATTGAATAATACGTTTACATTCACTAGTATGGCAGCCGGGCCCATACATAGACAGCAATGAACTGCGGATCTCCGCGTCGAATCGTAATAATAGCATGCACGCATCGTCACACGTATAACTGTGGGTCATTTGTGTGACGTCAACTAAAAGCACGCCAAAAAAATCATTGCGAAGACATTTAATCTTGTGGTCCAAAACGGGACAGCCTACCACATCCCCCTCTAGACCAGAAGCTTCTGAGAGTGAACAATCAACGTTTCTGTTAACATTCCAAATTAACGTTTTATTTCGACAGGAACATTTTGTTTTATTGCGGGGGATGGAGACGCTCACGCGGCCACATCAATCAGGGGGCAGCAATTTCCCCGGCGTTGCATTGCGGCAATGCCTGCGAGTCTCGCGCGCTCCGCGTTCAGCGCGTGACCTGCCCCGACGCCGTGTGACTGGCGGGCCAGCAAAGGCGGCCAGTCGGCCCGGCTGGGATATGTTCCATCTCGATATGCAGAAGAGCGTTCGGCGAGGTTGACACCGACTGCCTCTTTTTGGGTTGGATCGATTCCACCTCAAACGAACACTAGGCTGGGGCTCCCAGCGTCAACGTTTAGGGGGTTGGGGGGGGGGCTATATCCAGTGGTGTATATTCCATGTTACCGTAGCAGTGGCGAGTATCACCAGGAAATGACCGAGGCTCACCTCTCTTTTCTATTTTAATTATGCCAATGGGCTGATGGAATGAGTAGATGATCGCCTGGGATTTTTACTGGCCACATTTGCCAAATATAATGAAAATGTATGCTTTCAGATTTTTCATTTTATTTAAACGTTGTCAATTAATTGCTGCATGAGTGCCTCCCCATACTGTGCAATTCACTGGGTGTTGCTTAACCATACTTCACCACGCTGGGCAATGCCAGTTAATAACCAGCATCATGTTAGCCATGGCAAAGAATCAAAACTCGGGTCATCTGGTTCATAGCCCAGGGTGCTAAGCACTGAGCCACAGCTCCCCCTTATCACACGTGGAATACAAAAAACGTTGTAGAAAGAGTTTGCATCAGATGGAATCTCTGCAATATGCCATTAGGCTCGATACTTGATTTGTGAGAATACAGGAGTGACATTTGAAAATTGATTTATAGCCTCTATATAAACTGTTGACATGGCCGTGAGATGTTCTTCACCTGCATATCTGCATGAGTCCCGCAACGCTTTGGAAAAATGTGCTGTCCTTCTTGTCCTTGAGATAGTCCAGCATTTTCTACGACAACAAGATCATTGCTGTGTCAGTAGTACAAAAGTGAAAACCGACGTAGAATAAATCCTTTGACAAAATCAAGTTAGCCAACAACGGGACGACACGATTTCGACAGGCAACTCCAAGAAAAAAGCGGCAACTTGTTGGGGCAAATGACGTTACGCAACGCTTGGCCAGATTTTAATTGGCGTGTTGGAGCGTTCGCGAGATGGAAGCACAGCAATTCGGAACGGCACGGCTTTTCATTTTTACTCCCCCCTCGTTTTTTTTTCCCAGATATAATCAAATCCATGGTTTTATCGGGACTGCGGCCGTCCCCCGTGTCGCGTCACAAAAACGAAGCATCAATTCGGATCAGTCCGCGGAAGCGGGAGTGGCAGAGCTACCCTCTCTCTGAGGTCACTTCAAGTGACCTCTGCTACACGCGCAGCGCGGAGAGGGGACTTTCAGACCCACCGGCTCATCAAGCATGATTCTTTTAGGGGTGGCGGGTTAGATTGTGGTGATATAACGTCAAATGTGTTGAACTATTGCCCTCCGCCACTCGACAGAGCCAATCAAATCATGTTGTCACATCGTGGGCAAAATATGCCGACTGATTTGGATTTTCAGCAAAAAAATTCGAAGAGTGCTGAAAATCAAGTGGAATTTTGACAATCTTATCCGACGTTTCACTCGAGATTACGTCCGGCAAAACAGCTAACCCCTCGCGTGGATTAGCCGAGCCATTGGAGGTTTACAGGAAAAACAAAATGACATTGCAGCAATGCGTATGCATGCATATGGTCAACTTCTTTCGCACCGTACATAACCAAACGTAGTAATCGATGATGCAGCCCAAAGCAAACCCCATCATGAATCGTGACATTGGTCGTGAGAGCCTACAAATGGAATCAACAGAAGCGGAGCGTGCTGACGATAGTGAGTCGAGCAGGAAATTCACTCACGTTCTGTACGATGCAGTTGCCACCATTCAGTACGGCAATCCCAAGCTTCAGCGTCGACCGAACCATGGGGCTTTTCACGCCTGCGGCACACAGGAATATTTTATTGCAACACAGATAAGATCAAGATTAGATCAAAACGTTTCATTTCTTTTTTTTTCAACTGGGGTAAACGAATGCGTGTTGGCAGATGCGCAGCGTCCGCGGGATGTCGCTCGAAACGCAAACCAACTCGGCGGAAGAGAGTTAAGATTTAGCTTTACCTCCTCTCCATCCCCACACTCCAGTGCCCCCCTCTCCCCTTGACCAAATTTGTAAAAAAATTGGCTTTCCCATAAGAAAAAAAAACAACTCAACCCGTTCTTCAAAATCACCACGGGGGGACTTAAAAGGGGAAAAGTGCATAACAGGCGACGTTTTGGGTAATCGCCCTTCTTCATTGGGAAACAGCGAGGCCAAGCGAGGTAGCAAAAATAGAGAGGTGAGAGAGGGGTACCGGCCTCTTTCTCTCTCTCTCTGCATGCTGTGAAGAAAGGCCATTGCTCAAAGACGTCACCCATTATGTACTTGTCTTAATGCAGCCTTGCTATTGACGAGCGTGTTGAGTGCGTTTGCTATTTGTGTTCATGTAACCACCGCCAACGCAAGCACCAGCAGCAGCATCGCAAAATATTTTCCCATCAACACATGGCCTGAGCCTCTTGTGCGAAGGAAACACCTTAAACCATCTCACCTAATTCTAGATTTGAAGCTTTCGTGACTGCAAGGATTCAATAATAAATAACAGAAAAATTTATTATTTCTATTATTTGTTCTATTATGTTTTATTATTTATTTTTATTATTTATTTTTTCCCTACGTGACTTTACTGAAAAAACCTAAGAGTACCATCTCACCTACTCGCTCGCTCACTCGCCCTAGCAATCGCTTCACCAAGCACGCTCGCCTACTCGCTCACTCACTCACCCAAGCAATCACTTCACCAAGCACGCTCACGAGCTCGCTCACGACCTCGCTCGCTCACTCACTCACTCACCCACGCACTCTCTCGCAAGCACCTGACATGACCAGAGCCGTCACGTTCGGCAACGCCAACGCGTTCTGTGCGGTTGACCGATTTGCGTAATTAGCGGCCACGGGAGACACCTATCGGTAAAATTCGCTCATCAAGACGGCGCCAGTGGCAGCCGGGGAGGCGCTGTTATTTTATTGGGCCATATTTGCATGGGAGGTGTGTGTGTGGGGAGCGGTAGTGCAGCGATTAGCGCACTCCACTATGGACCCGTCGACCCGAGTTCCATTCCAACTCACGGCCAATATCGGTGATGATCATCCGACTAAGCCTCAAACGAGCACCTGGTATGGTGTGTAAACATCACCACTAGGGAGGCATAGGCGGTTGTGCATAGTAGTCAACAGCAGCCTGTTAATGCTATGAGAGGGTGTATTTAGGTTTGATACTCTTCGAGCTGGAATGCAGCTAAAATTAATCAAATTAAGTCAAAACATTTATTTCATGTGACGGCGGGGGTGGGGGGGGCATTTTTTGTGCGGTCATGCACCACACCAGAGACTTACCAAGTCACATGGAGCCATAGCCAACTGAGCCTGGACCAACGTCCTGATTTGGCCAACAGCGGTGAATTGTGTGAGCACAATTTAAATGAGCGGGGATCTCCAAGTAAACTCACTCTCATTGGCCATGTAAATACATGGGTACGGCTACAACTAGAGATGTTGCTGCTTGCTTTCTCACGTGGTACCAATGTTCGTCCTTGCCCATGGACTCACCGAGAGGTCACGGGTTTATTCACGGGCGGCTGAAACCCATATTCGATCGCGCGACCTCAGTAGTGCCGGCTCAGCGGTTAGGAAACACACCACACGCACGCGGCATATCATAGAGCTGTCGCGGTGTAACGGTCAGCTCGCTGTGACTTGCAATCCGGAGGTCGCCGGTTCGACTCGACATCCCGGCGCGGCTGCGGTTGAAACGACGGTGCGAGTTTCTTGAATCCCCCCTCCCCTCTCTGCCTCTGTCCACCCGGCGGCATAGAAAGGTTCAACGCCGTTGGTCGACCGGCAGGCCAGGCGTGGTGGGGTAAAGTGTGGGCACTCCCACCGCTTCCTAAAGGTCTGCTCAGCGTCGAAGAGAGAAGGTCAAATCCCCTTTGTCGGGGCTCTTTTTAGAGCTCCGCCTCACGGCACGAGCGAGCGCTTTCAGCGCGACGACTTAGCATTTACTTAAAGAACTCTGAACTTTTAACGGGAGCGCGCTGATTTATAACCGAGTCACCCAGAGTCGATTGTAGATACATTTCAAGTCTGAACTACGGCGGGTGACTGACTGGGCCACAGATATTAGTTTTCACATGGGTGGCCTGTACGTAAGTGGTGTTTGTTGAAATTCTTTAGCGCCGTACGTAGCCAACCGTGAGAATCAGAGGTGTAGTGTAGAGGTTAGTGTAATGTGTAATGTATAGTGATGTCGCATATAGCGACGTCGTGTATAGTAGTGTAGTGTATGGTTCATCGTGTAGTGAATAGTGTAGTATCTACGTATGTTGAACTTCTCTCGCACCGTACGTAGCCAACCGCGCTAATCGGAGGTGCCGGGGAAGAACAACAAACTAAACACAAAAATGCAGCTCTAACGAAATCAGTTTGTCAATCTAGATCACTTAAAAGTGCCTAACTCCAGTGACTTCCTAATATCAGAAGGTGAAGCATTCCAGATGGCCACGGAAGCGCGTCTGAAGGCGCACGATGCGGTGACCGCCTTTCTTCGATGGCAGCAGCCAAAAGCCGCTGCAAATTCGCACCAAACCGCATCTTCGATTTAACCGCAAGCGTCACCGGGGCTCCGTGGTTAAAGCCGTGTCGGAAATGCATAAGCACGTCCCCCCAATTTCCACTCACTCCCCCCCCCCCCCCTCTCCCACCTCCCACCACCCCTTGGATCACAGACTGTGGAAGTCTGCAGACAAGGTTCTTAATGGGCCACGCTGCAGATTGATGGAGCACTCTCTTGCGTTGTGTAGCAATTCCACGCTGGAGCAATGGGCCACACGAGCTCTTGGGAAGCCGCAGAAAGAAAGTTAAATAATGAAATAATGGTGGCTCTGCCGCAGAGTTTGCTGACGGTAAGAGAGGGGGGGGGATCAGGCCTCCGCCTGATGACCCATCCTATGTGTGCTCACAACGTGCCACTTTTCTCCTCTGCTCCTGACTCTCCTCTCTATCTTCATATTCTTCCTAATCGCTCCCTTACCCCTGCTCTCTTGCCCTTCTGTTTGCCCTTCTCTCGGAGACCACAGAGAGTCTACCCCGGTCGCGTCGGTGTTGTGCACCCTTTGCCTCTGCTCTTCCCTGCGCACGGTGTTGTTGAAAAATAAAAACATTTCAATGAACAACAAGTCGGAGCAAACCTCTAAATTTGAGAGAGATTTGATTCCATTTCCCCCCTCCTTCCCACTATTCATTCTGCGTGTCACCGGGGTGGGCTGGCTGTTGTTGGTTCGGTCGATGGAGAATAAGGTGGATAAGGTGGGTGTTGATGGGGGGTAGGGGGTCAAACCTTTGCTGGCTCCCAGCATCTGCAGCACCATCTCAGCCGCCCCCCTCTCGTGCAGGCGAGACTGCTGGTACTGCAGCTTCTGCTTCTCCATCTCCTTTTCCTGCACCGTGACAAAATGAGAGACACAAATGTGGAGGTCAGAGGGCTTCCAGTAAGGGGCCATCCATTTAGTACGTACACAAAAATCTGTCAAAACTTGACCCCTCCCCCCTTCCCTGTACGCACCCCCCCCCCTCCGAATCCTATAGAACGGACGATATTTAATCCACTCAGAAACGATCAAGGATTAATAATATTAACGTGTTGAAACAAACAGATAGTCCACCGTCGGACTATCTAACTAATTTGAAGGCCAACGTAGACAAATTATTGACGAGGCTTCAGCCCCCCCCCCTCCCATTTCCTACGCATACATTGTCAGTAGACCCCCATACGCAAGCGTACGCATTTAGGTTACCTACCCCCCTCCATGCATACGTACTAAATGTATGCCCCTAAGCTTTCACATCCAGTGTAGGTTAGCCATTCTGGTCTCTAAAGCTCCAACGTGGTCTTGGACCAATGTAACCTGCGTGCCCGACTGATCTGCCACACGACTGGTGGGGTCTCTACTCCACGCCGTTCAGAGCAGGACCCTTCTAATACTACTCCTCTCCCAGCGTCGGACCTTGTGCTCGACGCCACGGGGTCGGGCCTTCTCAAGCGTTGCCCCAAGGATCTGGAGTGCCTTTGCCGGCGGTCATCTGGCACGTGACGAGCCTGGTGTGATAATTGGTTTTTTACCCTTTTATCTGGCAACAAAACTGATACCTTTTTTACAAGGAGTCATGTTTGCATAGACCACAATACCTGCAGTCATAATGCAAACAAAAAAACATAACTCTGATAATGTATGCACTGTCCTTGAAGTTAATTGGTCCACACCCGAGACAGCTTTCCTTAAAGCCTAGTCTCACATGGGTTGGACCAGATGACGCCAAAAGGCGCACAACTCAAGGACAATGCACCATCAGAGTATGAGAGCTCGGGGTGAAGCATTTGCACCATTGGAACCTCATGACTCCTTGTAAAAAAAAAAAAGTGTCAGTTTTGTTGCCAGATAGAAGGGTAAAAAAACAATTATCATATTTTTTACTGGCAAATGAGGTTACAATGGAGCCTCGGTGTGTTTAGGAGAGGCAGTGCAACACTCACTACTTTCTCGTGGCTTTTGCTTCAGCGGTATTTTTTTGTGTTTGCATTTTATGTTAGTGTGCAATGTTTTGACACCCCCTTTAAGTGGAGGTGATATTACATTTGAAATCAATACGGTTCACAGGAACGGTTTAAACCATTCGCCACTCGTGTTAGCCCTGGCCAGTAGTAGCTCTCAGGTTATTGGGCTCTTGGCGCAGGCCACAAACCGCGACCAACTACTGTGCCACCGCTCCAGAGACAGAGAAAATAAAGACAGAGATCACCAGCATTGCTTTGCACAGACTGCTGAGGCAAGCGCTCTTAGCGAGCACCCATGAAGGCCGGCACGGCTCGACACACAGCGCTCGCAACATTCACACACTACGTGAAAAACAATTGCGCTCTGGTATCGTAGGAACCAGAGTACCTTAGCCAGCTTGCCTTATTGAATACCATTAAATTAGCACTCCTGCATAATGTTTTCCTTGGGCGGAATATAAAGATAACAAGTGTGTGACATATATTTAATCAAATAACAGGATACAAAGTCTTTCTTTATAATCAGGTGATAAACCATTTGGATACACTTTATTTATTTTTACTGGGGACAGCTAAGGAAATGTAATCCGAAACGTTATGAGTTTTTTCACTTTTTTTACCTCACAATAAAAACGAAAGAGACATTTTGAATACATTAAGCAAGACATATATTTCGAAAATACTACAGGATAAGCCATTAAGATAAAGTGGTTCCATTTCCCACAGGGATAGCACTTTGACGAAAAGTTTGTCAGATCAAAGGCTTTATTGCTCACTATAAATCCGCAAAAATGCCATCTGGCGTCACATTAGATGGGGGATTACTGCCTCTGTGCTGGATTTACTGCGAGCGGGAAGTCTGTTATTTGTTCATTCGCATTGATTGGTCTCGCGGTGGATTACACCAACTTTCCACTCCTGCTTCATTTCCACAAACCGCCGGCAAAGCAGACCAGGCCTCGAGCCCAGCAAGCTGCCTGGCTTTGGTCTCTCGGCATCAGCTCAAGAGTCCCTAGTCAAGAAGTCTCCGAGCTCCACGAGTGACGGAGGACCCTGTGGAATGGGCCCCTACCAAAACCGCCCGTTGTTGTTGTTGTTTTATTTATAAAAAGTTCAACAAAAGCCGAGGCTGACCATCAGACGATGCCGGACGAAGGCTTCCCCAAGTTTTCAGCATCTCGCACGGTCTCACCCACCGCACGCAGCCTTCTGTCGTCCGTAATTTGTGACCCCAGTCACACCTTCAATAATTGCCCTCACAAGGTGCACATGCCCTCGCGTGTTGACGCGCTTTCAATTGGAAACAATTTGGGGGAAATCACAGAAGAAATTCAGTGACGAAGGCCACGACGCTGGGCTCGAGATAAACGAGCAACACAAAAGTAATTTGCTGTATCCAATGGGCGTACACTCGTTTCATTGACCCTGGCGGCAATGATGGGCCGAGTCAGCCCCCAGCCAGGATTTGAACCTCGCGACCTTCCGATTAAGAGCCGCTCGCTCGCTCTCTCGCTCTACCGTTGAGTCACCTGACAGGATTTTCTTATAATAGAGATCATGAATCCTTGAAGAGTCCTCACCCGGTCAAATAAAGGCCACTGATTTATGTTAATGAACCTCATCGGTCGAGGCTCATTTGCACCGAGATGGAGAAATGAATTATATATCCTTGCACTGGAATTCACGAGTAAAGTGAAAGGATGCGGCGAAATGAGCGAACGCACCGGGTCCAGGAAAGGACCTTAGCAAACGCACGACGGAACACGTCAAGATTTCACACTGGCACTCGCGTGAATGAACCGAGGGTGCGGCGTCGATGAGCTACGCACGCGAGTGAACAAATTAAAAATAAACGATCCGTCGGCAAAGGGATTTAGTTTCAGCTCAGTCGTTAAGCACAGGCCCGCCACGTCAAGTGGGCAACAACAAACAGCACTGTTAACGTTGTCAGAGATAAAATAGTTAACACGATTTGTTGACGGTGGTTTACAATGTATAAAGAGGAAAGTATGACACATGGGCAAGGGTAATAACAACAGTGACAGCCAATAAATGGAGTGCATCTGGGAACGCGGCTGAGTCTTCGCAGGCAACTGAGCGATCAAATCGGGAATCGTGAGCGATGGACAGCACATTGAGGAGGCCTTCATCCAGCAGTGGATTGGCATGGCTGATGAATAAACCGCAATTTAGCTGTGCAAGGTTGAACAAAAGTGACTGCTTTTAAACTAATGCATGATTGAGCAAGTGGAAGATTTTATCAAAATATGATGAATTTATTATTATGAACGTGAATGTATTTGTGTAGCTGAAGGTCAAGTATAGGGTGTTATAATTTAACAACAATAAAACATTGATTTTGCTTATTTAATTTCCCAGCACCGTATTTTAAATCGACTCGCACTTGGCAAGCAAAGCTGCCCTTCAGTAGTGCACACTTTGGTCACGGTTATTTTACGCTTTTAGAAAAAGCAACTACATGGTGGCGAGATATCGGGCACAGCTGAAGGACAAGATGAACAAAGGATTCATCTTCTTGGTTCTTTCGGTAAAGTCACGTAGAAGGTAAATAATAAAATAATAAAAATAAAACATTATATTATTTTATTATGTTTTATTTTTTATTATTTTATTTAAATAATATAATATATTATATAATTAAATAATATGGTATATTATATTATTTAATTATGTTTAATTTTTATTATTTTATTATTTCCCTTCTACGTGACTTTACCGAAAGAACCAAGAAGATGAATCCCTGCAGTCACGAAAGCTTTAAATCGAAATTTAAAGGATTTATGCTTTCAATCCAGCAGCATTTGTTTAAAAGAAAATTGACTCTGCTGCTGATGAGACCGTCAAGGTCAAAAACCAATTCAGAGTTTGGTTGTTTTAAGAAAGATGCTAATAAGTCTGGAAAACCAAAAAGGCCATTGGACTAAGATACATATCGTATTATTTATATGTAAAGACACAAAATAGAGGTCTGCTTATGTAGATTTGAAGCTTTCGTGACTGCAGGAATCCATACTCTGGTTCTTTCGGTAAAGTGACGTAGGTATAAAATAAAATAAACAAAATAAATGTACCTACGTGACTTTACCGAAAGAACCAGAGAATCTGCTTATGTTTGCTTTTCCACGTATTCCTCCAACAGCAACCCACTGTGGCAAACGTACTGATACCACGACCAGCATCGCTTTCTTCCTTTTGCCAGATCAGGCAGCTTGAACTCTGAGGCCAATGGGGGCGTTTGATTCGATTCTCTCAAAATCAAAGTGAATCAGTGGGGGCAGGGGGGAACTTGAAGAGAATGACTTCCACGTGTTCATGTTTTTTTTTAAATACTTTTAAACGGTTTCTTCAAACAGTAAATTTCGGTTGTAAAATAAACACGTCGAACGAACTTGGTATTTCTGAGTGCTCGTGCTCTCTGGGGGCTAATACTGGTAGGAACCTCCTGGTTACACCAGCCCACAGGGGATTATTGTGTCCGTCCATCCGTCGCGCATCTAAAATGGCAGGGGTGGGGCTGGGTGGAGAGGGGAGAGTGGGGAGGGGCTGGGTGGGGAGGGTGGGGAGGGGCTGGGTGGGGAGGGGAGGGGCTGGGTGGGGAGGGTGGGGCTGGGTGGGGGGTGGGAGGGGTGGGGCTGGGTGGGAAGGGGCTGGTCACCCCGTGGTGCCCTTAAACGTTTAACCTACTCACGCCGGCTTGTACCCGCCCTCACAGTCAGCCATATTTGCGGAATACACCACGCCGCCGTTGACCCTGGCCATTAACCGAGCAACCCAACGTTCCTACCAGCTCCCTCCGCAGGAATGTGTTTTGGCCGAGGGTGCCGTGTCCTGGTAGCCTCATGCGCAGTGACCATGGTGGAAGGGGGAGAGGGCAGGAGGGGGGGGGGGAGGCGCGGGATGGGGGGCTCCGGGGGTAGTAGAGCACTCTCAGGGAGAGGCTCCCAGATGGGGGGAGGGGGGCGGGCGGGCTCCTGGGAGGGGGGCTTCCGGGGGGGTAGGGGGGGCGCACGGGGTGAGGGGGGCACCCAGTGGGGAGGGACACCCGGTGGGGGGGGGGAAGCGTTCTCGGGGGGGGGAGCACCCGGTGGGGGGGGGGGGAAGGAGGGGCTCCTAGAGGGAGAGGGGGAAGGGGCTCCCAGGGTCCCACACCGACCTCAAACGTGGCGGAGTCCTCCTCCTCCTCGTCAATGCCGGCGTGGCAGCTCTGCAAGGCAACCACAGGGCAGGGCGAGTCACGGACTCCACTCGCGCAGAGGCCCCCCCCCCCCCCCCCCCCATCAGCCCGATCATGTCAAATGCGATCCTCCGAGAAAGCACTGAACACGTCATTTTAAATCGAGAGCTATGAAACTATGAAACGTAAAATAACGTGGAACGTAATTAATTCAACGGACGTATTCGTAAAAAAATCTAAATATAAATGAAGCGGAATGCGTGTTTACCTTGGCCATTATGTCGGCGTAGGCCATGTACAAGAAATCCTCCTCCAGTTTCCTAGTTTACCAACAACAACAAAAAACAAAAGGGAAACATTTGACACAAATCTCAATGGAATCACTCTCGGTGCGCAGCGTCGGCGAGTCTCACACGCGACACAAAAAGCCTACGGGGGCCACATTGTTGGATGCACCTCGGGCCCCGCGTCTCATTCTTGGGGCCATGTTATCAATCGCCGAAAGGCCTCAGTCTTGAAGCCATTCGGTCGCTTTTTGATTTGCACATATGCTCTGTTTCTTTTTTTTCGTCCTGTTTGCAAGAAGATGTAGCGTGGGTTTTGTGCAATTTGTTGTTCATGCTCTTGTTAGTTTCCAGAGTACCTCCACCCTGCAATGTCCTGTTACTGCCACCACTGCTGGCGGTCTTGGGCTGTTGACCGTGGGTCTCTAAGCAACTCTATGGGTCTCTGTGAAACTCGATGGATCTCTGTGTAACCCTATGCAACTGAAATGTCCTTTTAACTGCCACCGCTGCCGGCGGTGCGGGGCTGCGGTCATCCGAGTAAGAGAGCTGCTCAGTGGGATTTGCCAGCTGAAATAACAAATTCCGATTCACGTGGCCAGTCGGGTAATTAGCACATTTGTTTTATTGCAGACATTCTCACAACGCAAGGCCACCACCAAAGTGTTACGTTTCTGAGACAATTAACGTCTGCAGTGGAGGGTAATATAATTTTTACATCACCACCTGCGTCCGCTCAACCGCCTGTCCTCCCCAGTGCAGACGCTCATCAACTCGCTGCATCAAGGACACACACGATAGGGCAAGTCACCCTTGGAGAGGAGCTCAGATAACGCTCGAAGCACAAACTGCCACTGGGTTTGTACGTGTCGTGGCTGGGAATTGAACCCACAATTCTGGGACCGTGGTGTATTTTGGGCAAAGCATTCCTCTTGCACAGGCGTGTAAGTGCCTGGTATACAGGAGGTCGTGGGTTCTATTCTAACCCTGACACCTGTATATTTGGAAATTGCATGTTCTCCCCGTGGTCGCGTGGACTTTTCTCCGGGTCCTCCGGTTTTCCCCTCCACATTTCGAATTAACGCGCGTTTAGAGCATTTGGCTGCTATGCATTTCCACGTGATGATAAGCCACATCGTTGAGCTATCATTTGTGATACAGGCGTCGCTTCTGAAAAACAGCTACACAGGACTTTGCCGGGGCACACCCTTCGCGCCGCACTGCTCTAGAGGACCTCTGACCGACCCCTCCAGGGCGGGCAAATGTCTTGCTCAAAGGTGGGAGCACCCACACCTCACCCCACCCAACTCGACGTACCAGTCGACTGCCTGTGTTGAAACCATTTACGCGGCTGCGCGAGACAGAAACTTGCGCCGTCATTGCAGCCGGGAGATTGAACCAAACTGGCGGCTGCTACATCACCGTAGCTCCCCAAACACACAGCGTGTGGTATGTCAAAGCATTTACAAAACATTTACTCGTGATGAACAAAATACATTTTTTATCAATTACGCCGAGCTATTATACACGCCGCTCAATCGCCGTTCGTGCGCGTACGCTGTGCCAGCCGAATTTAGTATGCGTGTCTGGGAGCTTTGCCATCAAACTCTGGCCCTCTGTGCTTCGCAGAGGTGGCGTTATCGTGCATCATTGTGGATCGTTATTGGTTCAAGCACGCTTCAGCAGTACTCCCATCCTGCATCTCCACATTTTAAATAAAATGCGTTTCAATCCTCCGGCCTATTGGCTTCCCAGACCAATATAAGCCGCCAGAATGTGTCTAAGCAAGAAAACCTCATAGGTGTTCTTTGGTTCTTTCGGTAAAGTCACGTAGATAGAAGAAGAAAAATAATAATAAAAGTAAATCAAATACAAATTTTAACGACGAAGTTTCGATCACAACACAAGCGATCGTCTTCAGGAGGACAAAAGGGGGAAGGTCACTTTTTTTTTCCTGAAGACGATCGCTTGTGTTGTGTTTCATTTACTTTTATTTTTTTTTCTATCTACGTGACTTTACCGAAAGAACCAAAGAATATGAATTCCTGCAGTCGCGAAAGTTTTAAGTCGAAATTTAAACCTCATCGGTCTCATCAGCGGAGTCAGGCTTGAGAAACAAAAGCTACTGGGTTACCAAATGCTACTGGCAAGAGAGGCGATCGCTATGCTGCAACCAGGCAATTCAATGATGTGAAAACAAATAGACAGCAACATGTAAGGCTTTAGTTTACGAATCGGATTAACCAGAATGATACGCAAGATAAAAGACTCACAACACACTAAGGCTGGCAAAAATGTCACGGAGACAATGGAGGAGCGATTCCAGAAATCCTGCCAATATTTTAATTAAGAAATGTATTCTAATCGCGTATTTCAGCCGTAATCCCCTCGCCATTACGAATAAAGACAAGGGGGGAAGAAATTATCCAGGATTAACCATGCAATATGAAAGCGCGGTGCGGGGTTACGGGCCTCAGTTCACTCGCTTCAAAGATTACGACGGAGTTTACTAATAAAATAATGAAGAAATAGAAGAGTGGAGCTAAAGGCGCAGCACTGCAATTGCTTGCTCACGCCACTACCGTTGGAAAAACCTCCACTGGATGGGGATTTATTTTGCCAATTCGTCTACGCTGACCAGATGTCTTGAAAGAGAGTAGATTATCCACACTTTACCCCTGCTACGCGTGACCTGCCAACCAAATAAATGTGGTGGTACACCGATACATATATAATGTGGCCGTCTTTTCAACTGCAAAATCGAATCGAACTGGTGACCGCCGGATTGGAAATCTGGACAGTGGTCACTGATGCACCAAGTGGCAGCATCCTCGTCAACTCCTCGTTATATGGTCACACTCGTGACACGCAAACGTGCTTGCACACAATTGCACCCACAAGACCTTTCTGATCTTGTCGAGGAGGATAAACCATTACGCGAACTCCGGTTATCCTCACAGCGGCGACTTTTGGCTGGCCGTCGAAGCAAAGGCGGTGGTCACCGCATCGCGCGGCGCTTTCAGATGCGCTTCTGCGGCCGTCTGGAACGCTCTCCCTTCTGATATTAGAAAGCCACCGGAGCTATGCACTTTTAAATGCAGATTGAAAACAAATTTCTTTAGAACTGCTTTTGTGTTTAGTTTGTTGTCCTTCCCGATTCGCGCAATTAGCTACGTATGGTGCGAAAGAAGTTACACATACATACATACAACTCAACAGGGGTTTATATATCAAAAAAGGGGGTCAACTTACAAAACCTCCCCTCCACCCCCCGCCCCCCCGCCGCAAAGGAAGATTCTGCTTCGGGTCTTCAATGGGCACAGACCGCCAAGGCATCAACTTCATTAGCAAACTGAGCAGCACTTTGTGTGAAGTTCAAAGTGGTAGTCTCATGCAGAGTCCGGAAAGTGGAATAGTCACAGTGAGCTCACGGCTGCCAACGGAGATCAATGCCACTTCATTGCTTCCAAATACGAGTTGCAGCACTCCCTGGTGCTAGATGACATCAAGGACGAGATATATATTAGCAATTGATCGTAATTAGGCTCATTTCACGGATTCCTTTTGACCAATGAAGGAGATTGATTGGGGCGATATGACATTTAGGCGGCCGTTGATACGACGGACGATTGTCTCAAATCCACGTCCACCTCGCAGCGTAAAATTATGATGCCACAGTCGGTCCATCGCTAAGTCGTGTGTGTCGGGAGGGGGGGGGGGGTTGAAACATGGGTTACGACCACCTTTTTGAAGACACCTGAGCAGCGCGGAAAAGTATTCCGCGCCTTCAATAAGCACAGTTGGCTACGTAGGGTGCGAGAGAAGTTCAACATAATGCATGAATACATACATTCATTCCATTCGAGAGAAACTCTTTTCAGCTCTCTCTAGTCGAGGTCTTTCCACCAGCGGTGGCATGAGCAAGGAATCGCTGGGCTGCACCGTTGGCTTTAATATTTAACGCATAGCAGTAAAAAAACGATTTATAAATACTCGGGTGACCGTGACACAAAAAAAAAGATTTGGACTGGGACGCTCAAATTGAAATCGAGTCGATGGCAATTAATTCGTGTCCGCCAATGTGGCCAAAACGAGACGTACGCCCATTGATTTCCAGCGACGCTAACGCTGCATCCTGAATTAAGGAATGCATTATTTATCACCAGGTGAGGCCGCGGCGAGTTACAGCGGCCGACTTTGAATAAGACGCCCGGTGCGTTTCATATGGGACCACGTCGGCCTGTGGCTTCACAAGGGAGATGCAGACAACACCAGTTGTCCCCCGTTATGAGACCGATTCAGCCTACAGCAGTACCGCATCTCCGATGTGTTTTAAGGGTTGTAGCGCGTTTTGTACGGCACGATGCCCAACGTTTCGCTGCTACCCCTACCCTCCCCCCAGCGTGAGCCACAAGCGAAGCAAATGGACCACACTCACGATTTCTCTGTCAGTGCCGTTCGACTGAAGTAGAGGATGAGTTGGTGGAGAGGATCGGGATGAGTCTCCACCTCTGTGTCCTCCGACTCCTTCTCCTCTTCATCGTCGTCGATGGATTTCTGTAAATGACGATTCGGCAAAACGCGAGTCAGGGGGTGGCTTGATAAATCGTGGCGATGCATCAGCATGCACCGCAGAGTGGAGTTAACGCCGCACGGAGGTGTGCCGCTCACAAAGAGCACGTGCAGGCCTAACTCCCGTCATGCCTTGCACACGCGTCATGTGATCACCACGTTGCATGCGGCACGCTCTTAGCCTTGTCCAGACCACCAACTCAAGGCCCGAATGTTTGGCCGTATTGTTGTTTACACTGGCAACTCTATAGCGAGTTGTAACATTTGTATGTCCACACAGGCACCAGTGGCAACAAACATTACTTTAGTATTTTCTCGCGACGTTTTCATTTTTTTAACTGGATACAACTGATAATGCGCCGCCGCTCGGAAGCCAAAGTGTTCGCGCCGAATTAAATTGTGCCCATAATGGTAAAAAATGGCTTAATGGAACAAATATATACTTCATCAAAGTGAGCAGTTTCAGCGCGTCGCCAAAATTCAGGTGGTAAACATGTGGCCAAACATTGCGCGGCCGCTTTCTATTTCTCTCCATTTATGCACACGACACAAAGGCGGAGATTTAGAGTCTTTGGAAAGATCTGCGGCCACGGTCGTGCATAAAGGCTGGGTGCGTCAGGAGCGCAGGGACAGGCAAGCGGCGCGTGTGCGTCACATGAAAGGAAGGGCGGCTATGACGCGTGTGCGTTATCGACGGAGCGCAAAACACGCGGGCGGCAGAGGAACTAAAGACGCGCGGATTCTTGCCGTATGCAGGGGCAAGCATTGCCGCTGCATGTCTCCGGTCTTTCGTCTTGCATGATGATTGCGGGTCCACTTTGTGCGCACAAGGTTTGCACATTTTTTAAAATTATCATAACTTATTTGGACAATTAATGTGATGCAAACATCAACGTTTGAACGTTTTTCGATCTTAATAAGGGGGGAGAGATGAAACGGCGTTAAATTGGACATCTGAGAAATAATAACCTTTTTGCGGTTATTGCATGCCAAGTACACTTACCTAGGGAGGAGCTCAACACTTTAAATTGTATTCAAGATTTCTGAAAATTATCGCAGGGATTATATAGCCACGCCACAAAACTCTCAATATAAATACAATTGCGTCAGCGGCCGAATGAGAGCGTAACAATAGCCGTGATGTAAAAATAACATGTTTCAAAGGAACATTGTGAGTGAAAAGAACAAGTGTGCATGTGTGGCATTTCATTTTAATGTCACTGGAAATCAGCGGGTGAACAGAGAAGTGAAAACAATGAGCGACGGATTTTTGGGTGGGTGGTGGGGGGGGAAAGATGATGCTGGGAAAATAATTCTCATTCAAACGCAAATTTCTGAAGGCATTTAGGCGATGGAAATACAGCAGTTGGGGAAGCGCGGATAAGTTAATGAGAAATGTTAATGCATGCAGAGCGACTGAACACAGCAACAGCGGAGTGTGTGAGCCGGGAAGCTCTTGGCCATGCTATTGGTTTTTATAGGAACACTTGCAAACCCGCACACGGGGAGAAGGCGATGATTTTACCGGCGCTTTGTCGCGTGAGTGGAGAAGGCGAAAGAAAAATGGCAAGACTTTAAATGGCAAAAAAATGTGATAAAATTATCCCAGTGGGAGAGACGAAGAGAGAAAATGTTTTTTTCCGAAAGCAAGATTTAATAACCCTCATCAGGGATCTCTCGTGCAGCCTCTGATCGTTTGTTTTATGCTGTGTATGTGGTTGTGTTTCTAACATTGGTGTTATAATGATATATACCATATTGTTTATTTGCATTGTGCTCTTGCCAATAACCATCTGGTAAACCGAGCCTGACCGCTGATGAGACACAGAAAGTCGAAACCGCTATTCAGAGTTTGCTTGCCTAAACAATTGCTGCTCGAAAATATTGGTGGGGTTTGTGTGTGTGTGTGCGTGCGTGTGTGTGCGTGTGTGTGTACGTACGTGCGAAGTCATTAGTGACCGAGCTGAGACGGACCATCAACTCGGTACACTTGAGGACCTGGATTAATCTCGGGTGAGTGACTGGGGCTTGAACTGGGATCTCCGTTACGGTGGCTCAGCACTTTGACAGAGGAATTAGCCCCAGGAGTCCAGACAGTCATCCTTCCTGCCACAAGCTTCCTTGGCAAGCGGAAGTGCCACATGAATCGGTAAAATCTGCTCACCGAAAGCGATTGACAATTATGCAGCGACGCCGCGAGCTTGCGAAGCAGCGACGTTGCCGGGTGGCAGGGCATTTTTTTTGTCGCGTTGTCGCAGAATTGTGCAGTTCGAGCCCCAGCGGTCCGCCCCCATGCCCTGGCCGTCCGCTTCGGAGTGAACGATAAAGTCTCGGCCACGTGAGCTGCCCGTCAAAGGGTCCGAATTTCAATCAGCTCACATTTGGTTAAACGATAAAAAAAAACGCGTTGCAAAATGTTGCTACTTAGCCGTCAAACAATGTCCGTCGTTGAAACAGCTCCTCCATGATAGCGTTGCGCTATATTAACGGTGTGAATATGCAATGTACCACATTAGGCTTATCGCTGTTGTGTTACTATCTAAATGCAGCCACGTCTGGCAGACCGTGCAATTTTGAGTTTTTCACAAAATAAATATTTCGAGGGAAGGAGAGTGTGCGAGGGTGTTAGGGGAAAGCAACCGACGCGGTAACGTTACGTGGGATTGCATGTCAACAGTCAGTCCATGGGCAACACAGGAGGAAAGCTTCAATCCTGGACTTTAACACAGTGAGGGTCAGTTAGTAGTAGTGTGTATTACCGGGAGCAATGCATTCCAGACAGCGGGAACAGCAGAGGAGAAGGAGCAAGCTCCCGTGGAGCGGAGGTCGACCCACCGACCGATCCCTGACGTTTGACTGGCGTGTGCAGTGCAATGGCGCCCCTATCTGGTACTTACGGCTATGTCATCAATTAGCTTATCCTCATAGGCATTCTCCTCTGTCTCTATCCAGTGTTTCTTATACGCATCGAGGAAGAGATTAATGGCGCGGTGCCTGGGAGAGAGAGAGAGAGGAGGGGGGGACGTACAGCGAAAGAACAAAAAGGGCAGGATGGTGAAGAAGAAACGGTGAGAGGGAGACGAGCAGAGAGAGAGAGAGACGAGGAGAGGTCAGAGAAAGGGAGAGGTGAGGAAAGGTCAGATGAAAGAGCGAGAGAACATGGAGGGTTCCGCGAAACCCTGGCACATCGATGTTGAATCGTCACGGCAGATACAACGGAGATGCCCCATCTCCACATTGACCGAGGCCGATTTGAGCCCTCCACGCCGCTCCGCAGCTCAAATTTTACACGGCTCGGCGATGCGGATCACACCGAATGCATTACACTGGGTGGCCAAATTCTTTTTTAATGATTATTAACCACCGTCTAACGACAGGAGCGGTGGCTCATTGGTCAGCCCGGTGACCTGAGTTCGATTCCCGGCTGACGTCATTGGCCGAGCGATGCCTGGCCGCTACGGCCATCGCGTCACCAACCCGCACTGACCAGTGCGGTCAATTGTTTTCCAACGACCCCGATGACTGACATAGCCAGAGGCCTTCATCCAGCGGTGGATTGACGGTCCGCAACTAATCATCATTATAACAATCACCGTGAACGGACAAGCGTCGTCATTTCGGTGACATTGTTCACGTTAGAAACGTCCCGGCTAGACGGCGTGAAATTTGTAATCAGAAATAAAAGAAAATCGTTTCAGAAGAATGTCCGTCCATGAACGCGGCCGTCGGTGACTAACATCTTATCCCTGTCCTGCATCGGTCTCTTCGGCCCACGGATGCGCCCTCCATGGACGCGGTCGGATTGAAATCTGTGCCGCGTCAGTGCCGTTATCTTCACACCATAGAGACCCTCCGTAATCAGCCCTCTAATAAAAAAAAATGACCCTCTCAGTCACAGATGCTTCCTTCCCAATTCTAGATGCAGCTGAGGCTCGTGACGTCAAGTGTCGCTCTTGTTGTTTAGAAACGCAATTGGTTATTGCGGTTGCTAGGCGGTAGAGAAAGCGGCTCGCAATCGGAAGGTTGCGAGTTTAAATCGTCGTTGGGCGTTGAACTCGGCCCATCATCCCTCCAGGGGTCATTAAAATAGGTACCACTTTGTGGAGAATTCAACAGTGGTTGTTCAATAAATAGTGGAATTTTATCCACGGGCTCAGGGCTGTGTATAGGCAATGAGCAGCGCCTCAATGCTCAGTTGAACAGAAAACAACTTTAGGAAGCCCAAGAGGTTTCTAATTGTTTGGCCACCCAGTGTACTTTTGCCCCTGCAATTCAACATTAAGTCAACGCGTGATTTCAAAATGTGCCGCGGGAAGAGAGAACGCGAAAACCAGAGGGTGCGCGCTAATTGTCCACCCGCGCTCCCTTATTTTTTTGTCCCATCCGTCCGGAGGAAATCGCTCCGGTTAATTGGCAGCAGTCAAAGAAAAAGAGTAAACAGCTGAGAGGCTCATGTTGTCCGATTGGTCAGTTCGATGCGATGATTAGACCCAGTCCGAGCACCGCCATCGTTTTAATCATTTCTGTGCCGGGGGAATCCTCGCGGGGGGTGAGAGGCAATTTGCCGCGGCGAGTTTTCTCATTCACTAGGTTCATATGCCCCCTCCATGACACGCACGCACGCTCGCACAATGATACGGAGCCTGCGACCGTATAATTCCATTGTAAGCCCCATTCGTGTAAGCTTAGCGCATTTCGGGGGGCCGATGGCTCCGGGAAGCGTTAGCGGCGTGCTTCACAGCGCTAAGATTACACGTAAACGGCCGGGCATATGAACGTAACAAATGCGTGTCCACGGTGGCACCGTAGGGGTCCTCTAAACGTCTTCCTCAATCACAGAGGTCCAGCAATGAGCATAGCCTCCACCAACTGAAATGATCAGTAAGGCCCTAATGTATTCAAACAAAGTATCCATCGCAAGGGGCAGCTCTAATGATGTTTACTACATTTCCAACTCACACGTTTTTTCGGAGTGAACGGTTTGTGAGGGGCACACTAGATTTTGCTCATTGTACACCTTGTGCCACACAGGGACAGCTTCCACTGGGGGGTCCCCCGCGGCAAGATTGCAGTAGGCAATGGAACGGCTCAGATTACATTTTTACGTAAGGCGCTTTAAGTTGCCGAGGCATTTAAGCAAGTGCCCTTTAAATGCAAATCCTTAGGCCCCTAAATATAGTTTGTTCGATTTAACGTCAAACGCACAATGAGTATGGTAATCAAGTTGTCAGCAGTGGCACTCCGTAAATCCAAAGACCACAGTTCCAGAATTATGTGACAATGATTTCCATGATCGCCATTAAGATTACTAACGTTTAGTTTGGAATTTATTTTGGGAGGCATTTTTTTTTACGATGGACATGAGCTCTGCCCCATACTCGCTTGATCAGAGAGACACCATCTATGCCCCTTGCGTTGAGTCTGTACACGCGTATGAAATAACGCAACAACAAATGTCCTACCGAATGACCCGTGACGTCCCTAACAATTGCCGGTTTAATCTCTACATTGATAACCCAGCATGCGGCTGTTCTTACGCCGAGGAAATGTCACGAATATACGTAGCAGTAGCTGCCTAAACTAAACTGAAAATATAAACTATCAACACATTTTTTTGTTTTACCAGGTAAGGCTCAGTGAGCTATTTAGCTCTTTTTCAGAAGCGGCCTGGCCACAAATGATTGCTCAACTAAGTGGCTTATCACGTGGAAATGCATAGCGGCCAAATACTCGAAACGAATGTTTCTAAACGTGGAGGGAAAACCCCCAAAGAACCTTGAGAAAAATCCACGCGACCACGGGGAGAACAGGTAAAACTCCAAATATACAGCAGGCGTCAAGGGTCGGGATCGAATACACGTACCTCCTGTATACCAGGCGAGGTAATTAACATCTCACAACCGCAGCACCTGCCTGCCTGCTGCCTTTCACTCTCCCCCACCTCCATGGACCACGGGCATGCTGCCCAATCGGACAGAAAATGAGCACGGAGGAAATTGAACAAGCCCCCAAGAGTGATTTGAAGAAGACAAAATTGATTTGTTTTCTGCATCCATGGCATTGGTGCCACGGACCCAAGCGAAGTTATTACCATCAGCCTCTTCACAAGAACCTCAAAGTCTCTCGCATCAAACGCCTTTGTAAGCCACACATGATGATAGGCTTTCAAGTAAAAATTGGTCACTTTGTGGCTAGGGAGGGGGGAAGGGGGGGGGGGAAGGAAACAATTGCATTAAACTCAAACACAGTGCACGGGTATTTATGTTTAAAAATAAATAACATGGCATTCAACAAGAACAACAACAAAGCAATTTCACTTGCCACAGTATTCATGCAAATGACTTGCGAGAATTCAGAGTTTGAATGTAGGCGCTACAGTGGCGAGATGTTAATTTCCTCGCCTGGTGCGCAAGGAAGTCGTGGGTTCGATCCCGACCCTGGCGTCTGTATATTTAGAGTGTGCATGCTCTCCCCCGTGGTCGCGTGGAATTTTTTCTCCGGGTCCTCCGGTTTTTCTCTCCACATTTAGAATCAACACCACGAGTATAGAGTATTTTGCTGCTATAAATTCTCACGTGATGGGCCACTTCGTTGAGCTATTATTGTGGCCAGGTCGCTTCTGAAAAAAAGAGTTATATAGCGCAGTGGGCCTTACCTGGTAAAAAATTACAATAGTTTAAATAGTAAAGTGCACATAATAATAATGTACAGCCCTGTGTCAATCCACGGCTGGATCAGGGCCTTTCCTAGGCCTCGAATTGGTTGACTCGCCCTTTCAAAGGAGCCAATTCAGTGCAAAGGGGGGAGTTGCGTGATTTGTGTGACGCGTTTGTTTGTATGCATGAATATTGCATACAGATAAATGTTCTTTACGAGCGGCATGTAGAGACGTTTTTTTATTTTAGTTGAGGACCATCAGGGTCTATGATGATACATACCAGGGATGTGTTTCGGATTTAAACAAGTTCGGATTTTTAAGAAAAATTTCGGATATTCGAATCACGCGGTGTTATGCAGCGTTTGGGTGTTTTCAGGCTCACAAAGGACACGTCGCTCGATGTCACGTGACACCACTTTTTTAAACAGGACTTTGGAAGCACATCACTGCAGCATATCAACTTACAACAAATCACGCTCTTAAAGTATCCGTGAAAAAAATTCTAATCAGAAAATTTCAGTCAAACTCTGCCAAGTGACTTTGTATCACAAATCTACAGAACATCACGGAATAGACTTACAACGATATCATACTTTCTGTGCAAAGATTTTCCTTTTTTCGTCATAAAACTTTACCCTCCGCCACGACATTGACAGGACCAATAAATCCAAAACCCATTTCAGGACATTTGGATGAAAAATCGAGATATTACGAATGAAACGCAAAAGCTGCCAACGCCTGCCTACACAGCGGGAAGAAGCGCCGTGTGCAGTCTGATCAGAATCAAAATTTAGAACCTTCATTTTCAACTGGAGGAATCCGATGAGCTATGAAGCTCTTTCTCACAGATGCCCAGTAGGGGACAGCTCGCGCACGTTAGGGGGGGGGGTCACTGCGGAGCTGCAGTTGGACCAACCTCGGCAGGTTGTAGAGAGGCGCCATGCGGAAGCAGGCGACCACAGCCCTCTTGCGCTGCTTTGAGAGCAGCTTGTGCCACACCGCCTTCTTGGAGCGGTGCGGGTGCTCCACCTGCGACGGTGCGTCCGCGTTAGCGCGAAAGCGACGGTTGGTATGTGCTGCAGGGTGCTTCAAAACAATGTTAACACTTACATGGGACTATCGTTTCTAATGGAAAAAGAACTGGATAATACACTGTAACATGATAGCAAATGTATGTTAATGGCTTCAAAAAGTCAAAGAGTCTACACTTGTTCGCCGTCGTTGTCAACGCATTGCCTGGAATCTTCTCCAGGTGGTCTCCAGAGCCCGGACACAGCACATTTCGTGTGTTGTTGTTGCAAAATCTCAAAAGTGTTAAAAAAATTGAAGCACCCTGTATATACGTATGTATTGGGATGTGACCTAATGGACAAATTTCTCTCTTATAATTTCTTTGTTGCATTAACTTTTTTCGTTGTTTGTGCTTATTGTTTTGGTGCAATTTCTTTATTTGTTTATTTATTTTAGATTTTGCTTGGTAAGTAGGGGTTTTGATTTGTTGGTATGTATGTGTGCGTGTGTTGGGCTTCTTTCGCGCCGGACGTAGCCAACCGCGTATATGGGATTTGGTCATTATATATAATTAATTAACAGCATTGTAGGATGCTGTTGGAAAGAATGACGCTATTTCAAATTAAACTATTATTATTATGCTGAACTAGTAACTAATTGG